TAAAAAAAAAAAAAAAAAAAAAAAAAAAAAAAAAAAAATTTTACTATAAAACTACTTACTCAACTTTAATACTAATTTATACACTATCCTTACTTTACCCTAACTCTAACTAACAAAAAACAGGTTGTTTTGATTTCAAGTTACACCTAATTTTATGATTTGCAGAGGGTATGATAATATCACATGGTGTAGTGTATAAATTATTTTAACAAAAAAAATATAAAATTTATAAAAATTTATAAATTTTAATGTTTTTTAATTTTTTTATAATTATTTAGCTAATTAAGTTATTAATATACTGTATACCGTAAATTAACACAATTGACTAAAAAGTATAGCATTCTATATATTAAACATGCTTTATGACTGGTAATATTACTTAATAAATTATTTATTTATATAATTCTATATATTAGGTAATAAATATTACATACTGATTAAATCTTTAATTTTCGGATTTAAGTATTAAAAAATCAAAACCATAATAAAAATTAAGAAAAAAAACAAATATGAATGAGTGATTTAAAATAAATAGAATAGTATACATACGTATATTTCTAATTTTACCGCGGTTTACTTTAATAAAATTGTCCAAGAGATGAAAAACAAAAAATGACAATAAAATTTGATAAGTTGTAAGAAAATTGGTGTGCTTAAGGAAGGATTCAATAGTCAATGCTAAAAGTTAAGGTAAAAAAAAAAAAAAAGATTACAACTACCAAGAAAGTAAATTGGAATTTCACTAAGAGGCATAGGAAATAGTACTCTTCACAAAATTCTTTAATTATACATTATAGCATTATAGGAAGAAAAAAAGAAAAAAAAAAACAAGCTAGTATTACACAATTATATATAAACCTTCAATAAAAAGTAAAACCAAATATATGAAAGAAATCAATATAATAATACAAGAGCTATACGGGTTGCATTATTTTGATTTGGTATTTGCGCTTAACCAGTTCAAGCCATCAAATAAGCCATCACCAGTGGTCGCGCAAGATGGATGAACGTACCAAGCCCGATCACGCATACGATGCAAATGGAGTTTTTCGGTGACTTCTGCAGGTGACATTGCTAAATTATTTTATAAAAAGAAATTCAAGAAATAATAATATTTAAATAATATAGAATTAATATATATATATATATATATAAGTGTATATAAAATTCAATACAAAACATACCGCCTGGTAAATCTTGTTTATTGGCAAACACTAAAAGTAAACAATCCTTCATTTCGCGATCAGAAATAATTCGATGTAATTCTTGGCGTGCTTCATCTATTCGATCGCGGTCTTGTGAGTCAATAACAAATATAAGACCTTGGGTTCCTGTATAATAATGACGCCAAAGTGGACGAATTTTGTCTTGACCACCAACATCCTAAAAAAAAATAAATAAATTAATGAAAAATTGGCGGAGTATAAATAATTTTTAAAATTTATTAACTCACCCAAACATTAAATTTAACATTTTTGTAAGTCACAGTTTCCACGTTGAAACCGACAGTAGGGATCGTTGTAACTGATTGATCAAGCTTTAATTTATATAGAATTGCTGTTGATAAGAATCTGAGAGTTAAAAATAATAATTATCCACGCTAATAATTAAGATTTAAAGGTTACTTATTATAATTAACATATGATAATTTAATATTTTTAACCTTTTATTAAGTATTATTCAATATTTTAAGAGTAAAAGGATACTTGTTTTGCCTGCGGCGTCTAAACCTAACATCAATATACGCATTTCTTTGTTACCAAAGATCCTTAATAAAGCTTTCGAAACAGATGCACCCATTTTTATTGGATTTGTGAAGAGAAAAAGGGGAAAAAATGGAGGTAGGGAATAAGCGAAGTAGTTGAGCCTCTTTATGATTAATAAATATATTCCGCGTTCGCGAGTAAAATAGAAATAAAAGAATGTAATAATAGCTGGTATGCGGAAGATTCAATTATATATGCGACTAAAATAACCACGAAAAAGAATATAAACTTTATCAAAACGTTCGTTCATTTTTATTGGCCGTGATCGTCGTCTCACCAATAAAATTAAAGGTCTTCCCTTTTTTTTTGTTTGTTTTTTTTTTTTAATCATTACAATATCGAGTATCGATATGAATATGCTATGATCAGCAAATTAATTAATTATACATTATTTGGTTAGTCACACCTTTTTCAAAGATATTTGGTTAAGCATTTATTTATTTATATGAAAAAAAACATTGTCAACATACCTTAAAGAGTAAAAGAAGGCAAATAATTTCAATAATAAAATTAAAAAACATATTAAATATCGATATATAAGTCAACTAAACGAATTTACTCATTCCAGCTACATACAGTATCTAAACTTTTGAAGGAGAATTTGAATTCGTTTTTTTTTTTTTAGAAGCAGAATTCGGTAAAGTGATTGTTCTACGTAATGCTCTATTACAGGAATTTTGCTTATTATACGTACGTATCAGGTATTCTATTGTACATCTACGTACTAACTGCTAAGAAATCAATTATTATTGATATGCAAATTAATAACTATATGTAAAAAAAGAAACTCCATTGCTTATTATTTGTGACCCAAGATCTTGATGTTTGATCGCTGTAATCGATAAAATCGACTTAGTCTTTTTTTAAAAATAAAAAAAACGATCAAGTTGTAAAACTTGGTATACAGAATAATCGAGAAAGAAGACAATCAAAAATAACTAAATATGAGCATGGATCGACTTAGTCCAACTTGAATTATAATAAATTTACTAGTGACTTGAATTTAGCTTGAATAAGTAAAAATTTTTTAACAATAATGATAATATTCTAAGTACCGGTAGTAATTATTTTGAAACATTTAATTCGTACGTACGTACGCACGGCAAGTGTGTTCCTACATACGTACGTACGTACCAGCTACCTCAATATCTGATAGCTGATATCTGATAGCTGATATCTGATATCGATATGAACAATAACCCAATTAGCCAATGACGACAAAATTAAAAGATAGCTACGTCAACTAAATTGACTGACTCAAGTAATTATTACAGTAGATATTTTGATATATATTCCAAATTTTATTAATGAAAGAGCTTACGTACAATGTTTTTAATGAGTAACCCTAATTAATTAAATTGTTTGACTATTGTCGCTATTATTTGCAGCACCTTATTTTAATAAAGCTTATGATTGGCTCATGCAGATACACTAAAAAAAACATTGTACTATTATGTATTATAATTTGAGTTATCACGTGAACATTATAGCACATTATCTGTTATTACAAATAGGCACGTACCGTACAAGTAAATTATCTTGTCTTTTGAATTTACAGATAGCTAAGCCTTAAATATTTGATTGCGGCTCATCGCTTTCCTTCCACACGTCGCAAAAGGAAGAGACCATATAAATTATAAACTATGTCACATAATATGACAACAGAAAAAATGGAAGAGTCAGGGCATTCTCCATACTTTAATAGTGGTAAGTAATAAAGAATAAAATAGAATAAAAAAAAAGTGATTTTTTTCTTTGCATTTTACGTATGTTTATGAAAGAGTTTTTCTGATATACCTTTTATTTGTGGCGTAGATATTTCTTATCTGGTAATCCTTTTTGCCGGATTTGAAGTAAAAACACTATTCTCTTTCATAGCCGCATGTATGTTTATCACACTCCTTTGTTGGTCAGAGAGACTGTTATCTTATCGTTTAGAGAGTTTAAGATATGAAAGGAATCGACCTAGATTTAGAACTATATTATTAAGAACTTTTGGATACTCGATGGCTACAATATTTCGACTATTTTATATGTTAATTACGATGACCATGAATTCTCAGATTTTTGTAATAGTGGTATGTGAGAATCAATGAATGATTTATTTATTTATTTATTTATTTATTAAAATCAATTCACGTATATTAAAGTGATATCTTTTTTTATATCTTTTTAAAGGTTGTAGGATTAACTACTGGACAATTAATTGTGGAATATTTGCGCTCAATCTCGTAAGCATTTTTATTATTTTTATTATAGTATAAAAATTATGTACAATATTTTTAAATTTATAATTTTTTTAATATATATCTTTAATTTTAGTGCCTACACATCTAGACATAACTTAATTGGTATGCACTCGTCGGTTAATTTATCTCATAAGGATGATGATGACATACCGTCAGCAACTACTCTAGGGAATGAATCAATTAGTGACAAAATTGGTGGATATACCGGGGTTGAATCCAGAGATTTTGTCATTTCCAATATTCAAAGTGATGATGATGATGACGATGATGATGGCAATAATTTGATGCATTCTACTAATGTTGATATGAATAAATGAACATCATGGTCTTGTCACTTAACAGATAATAATAATATTCTATTAAATTTATTAAATTACATGGCATGAAAAAGAAAAGGGCAAATGAAAAAAATATTGGCAAGTTTATTAATCTTATTAATAATTTTATTAATCATTCTTTAATTAAATGAACTACTGTGTGTTAGATTTTTTTTTCACATTAGTATTAGTTATTCATTTTATGGCGACATTGTATGATACAGTAATTACTTCCCCATCCCATCTTTTATTGTAAATAATAAATAGAAGTAAATCATATTCGACGCTCATTTTCATATTTATTAATTCAACGTTCAAGTGCACACTATATTGAATGTATTAATAAAATTTAAGATCAGATCGAATATTTTACGTAGTCATTTTTAATATCAACAATACAGTATATAATTTATTATATAATAATGTATACATAATATATCTTATGTAAATCAAGATTTATTAGCTATTTGTTTTTATTAATTTTACAATATATATATACAATGTAACAAACATTGTCTTTTGTTCACTATTTCAGTCAATCACACGTACGTATGATTTTAATAATAAAATGCCTGAATAAGTAAATTGTGTACGTATAATTTGCAAAATTATCATGTGTATAACATTTTACAAATACAGTATATACATTTATATAAATTTCCTTAAGCAAAGAATTTGAATTATACGTATACTGTATTAAGGTTAAAATTAATGTTAAGTCAGTTTCAGTCGTATAACTATTTTTCAATGGCATTTTTTTTTTATTACAGTATTGTATGTATAAATGGGTTAACAATTTTGGAGTTTTCTGCACCAGGGAATAAAATACCAACTCATTTACTGGTCATGCAGCTCATTATTTCAAGTGTCTTTTTTGTTATATAAAATAATTAAAATAATTTTAATCAAAGAACGATATCTTTGAATGGCCGGTAAATGTGTTAGTATTTTAATCCTTTAGCTGCACGTTTCTTTTTTTTTCTGCAATCTATTGTATTTTTTTTTTCATTGTAAAATTTTATATTATAAACTATTAATACGAAATAAAATATTGTACCTTTCGGAGTATAATCCTGTAATTCGTGCTTCTGTAATTAAATATTGCGATTATGAAACTTTAATAGTAATACTCGAATGAATCTCGTGAGTTTTTAATAATCAAACTCTGCAAATTTGGAACGCCAAACATGACATATTTAAAAGAGAATTTTATTTAAATATAAACCTGCATCATTCTTTATTGATTATTATTTATTATTTATAATACCGATACGATTTAAACTCATTTAAGCTCTTGGAATTACTGTAATAGTGTCGTATGTATGCATGAATTCTTCTCAAGAACTATAGCATCTTCAGAAGCATAAAATCTTTTAAGGATTATAATCGCTATATGTCTTGCACTATGATTAGTAATTTTTCGTGCTAATTGCAATATTTGGATCAATCATATAAGTTCTATATGATAAATATAGGGATGGATGTCTTTAACCTTTTTTTAAAACATTGACGTCTGATGCTAAATTTTGCTGAAACTGAAACTATTGCCCCTGATTAGTTAATTTTAATTTTCAGCAGAGAAAGTGTTATATAATTACGAATTTATTAGAGATTACATAAAAAAAAATAAATTAATATATTTGATCGCTTTAAATTTTTATCAATGCTATTACTTTTTCAGAATAAATGATCTTTTAATTGGTCAACTAAATAAACAAAGTCTTCTTCGCAACAATTACATTTTTGGCGTGGTGTTATTCGATCATGTTTATCAGGTTCAGCAACTTTTGTAACGTTTAAACGGATTTTTTTTGACGGGAGTCTTCCATGAACATGAAACATTGCTTTGAAGAATTATTTTTTATTCGTTTTCTTTTTTTTTGTCTTAAATTACGCCGTATTAAACCATTTTTTAAGATCGTGTTTTAAAAATAAGTATATTTATAAATGATCAATGAAATTCTTTTGTTCTCAACTTTGAAGATTAGTGATTATCATTTTATCAACCCAATAAATATCTAGCAGCCTTCAAAATTGCGGGTCATGTGAAAACATGGTGCACATTTTCTCACATGACCCGCAATTTTGAATTTTTGTTTTCAAATCATTTACAATCGGAGTACCCAAATCTCAAATATCAAATAATGTAAAAATAGATTTGATAAAAATTTGGTTTGATGGCTGAACAGTAAAAATTATGATTTGATAATTTATGTTAAGCTAACGAAATTTTATAAAATAAAAGAAGTGTATTATGCAAAGATAAATAAAGCGATAAATTAAATTATATTAAAGATACGTACCACTTAGTTTATATATTAATCGAAATCTATGAATTCTTAAACTATATATAGTATTTAATTTGTTTAAAAATAATACGTATTAAAAATATCATAGAGTTAAAATTAGGATTAGGGTTAGAGATAAGGCTTTTTGTATAATGTTAAACATTTTTACTTAATGCATCAAAACATGGTTATATATTTTAAGCTGTTTTTGAGTTATAATAAGAGCAAATTAGTAGCACTCTTATTAAATATATCAAATCAATAATTTTATATAAAAAAATTCTATATCAAATTATACAAATTTTGTAGTGCAAACAAAAATTTAAGATTTTTCCAGTAATAAATAGCTATTTAATATCTTAACTTGTTATTAATTAAATAGATAAAATAAAATTAAGATGTATTAATACTATAATAACTATTGAATTACAAATAACTTATTCACAAAAATAAATCAAGATGAATAATTCCGCAGTATGTGATTAAGGTGTGTAAGTTTGCATTAGAATTTTCATGGTTTCTACTATGAATTACATTATAATTCAGAAACGAACAATCTCAATACATACTTCGGTCATCGGAATAATAAGTATAACAGAATTTTTTACAATACTCATGGTATTTCTACCAACTAAATATTGTGGTCACTGGAATAAGCATGTTTTGTAACAAAATTTAATTATGTCAACTCAAGAAAAATTATTTCACTACAAACTAACCTAACTCAACATTTACCATATTGCATTAACAAACGAGTAGGTTCCGTAGCAGAAAGTTTTACAATAGCTCATGATGGAAAAATTATGATAATTTCAATGCAAGCTAAACCATACTATATGCCACTAGGCAGGGAACTTTTGTTGTGGAATTTTACAGAACTGATAATAGAAATCACAATGCAAACTAATTCAACCACATAATAGGTCACCGATAGTAAGTTTTGTAACAGAATTTTTACAATATTTTCGAATAAAAAACTAAAATAACCTTAATGCATATTATTGTCACCGAAATAGCAAGTAAATTTTGCGACAGAGTGACTCATGGTAGAAGTCGCAATAATTCTTGCAACTTAATCAAATACTAATTCATCGAATTAGCAAGTAAGTTCTGTAACAGAAACTCATAATAGAAAATGATTTAATACAAATTAACTCTATTTAATTATTAATTTACAAGTAATTTCAGTAACGCACGATAGAATATTACAATAGTTTCAATAGTTTCAATAAAAACTAACATAACCAAACAAGTTATTGGTTATTAGAATAGCAGGTAAGTTTTGTAACAAAATTTTTATAGTAACTTATGATCGAAATCATGATAACTCTGATACAAGCTAATTCACACACCGTAGTTATCAAAATAGTAATATAATTTTTATACAGTAGTAACGCTAGAAACCACAATAACCCAATACAAATTTATTCAACTTTACCTACATACGGTTATAATCGAAATGGCAAGTCTGTAACAGAATCTTTACAGCAACCCATGGTAAAAATCATGATAGAAATCACAATGCAAACCAATTCAACCGGTACTGTGGTCACCAGAATGGTAAGCTCAGACCAAAATTTTTTGGTGATTACAATACAAAGTTTATAGCTTAAGCCACTGTGAGTACATAGTTTAGTTCTGTAACAAAATGTCACAGTAATCGTCATGATTTTAATATTAACTAATATATAATTAAAAATGTTGAATAAGATAGGTGGCGCGAATGCACTAGTACCGTTTGGGCATCTGGAAAATGTGTACCGGGTTGGGATCGGATGATCGTCCGGAAAGCTAGGTCGGAACGGTATGAACAGTCGGAACTAGAAACGAAAATTACGTACTGTATTTACATACGTCATCTAGCTAACAAAAATAAAATTAACTGTTGTCATTAGTTCATCATTACCCGTATCCTATTGTGAATAAGCACTACACCCTCTACCCCAATTTTTAAATGTCAGATTAGCGGAAATCGCAATGAAGTCTTTAGCCAAATTATTACCGCTAATCTGATATTTAAAAAAGTGGGGTAGAGGGTGTAGTGCTTATTCACGATAGGATACGGTATTATTATTTTTTTAAGATACGATTCAGTGTTGATGAGAAAAGTTTTTTTTTTTTTATTAAAGAATTTTTTTTATAAACTATATAGTACATGTTTATTTGAGATTTATTAACATACTTTTAAAGCCAATATATTTTTTTTATACGCGCATTATATTAAGAACTTTGACGTTCTGGTCTGTAAAATTTTGAAATTTATAATTTATAAACACTATAAAAGTAAGAATACGAGTATTAATTTGAATTTAAACCAGTAAAATTAGAGCCAAAGATTATGAAAAAATGAAGGGAAACGTGCTTTTTTTGAAAATAACATGAATATGATTAGAGAGAAATAACGTTAAAAAATGGTGCTTTCGTTCTATTAAATTTATAATTTTATTATTGTTATCATTAGAATTTTTTAATTGGCGCAAATTATTTGGACTGATTAATGCGCCATCACATTCAAGAATTGCTAAATAAATGAAAAAAATAAACAGGAACAGCAAATTATGATATATATTCTTTTTTTTTTTACTTTTTGATCGAAAATGTTAAACGAATTTCGATGATTGTCAAAAATTGACAGATACGGATAACCCAGATGGAATTTTTTGGCTCGGTTATTGTTACGAATATGGAATTGGAGTAAAAAGGATGAAAACAAAGCATTTAAATATTGTCAAAAATCGGCAGACATGAATAATTCTAACGGAATATATCAAGTTGGTTATTGTTATTATTTAGGAATTAGAGTTGAAATCAATAAGCATGATTAATTTGTGAACTTTCAAAGATTGTACTACCTGAAAATAACTTACATGATCCAGGTAAACATATCTTACGTACGTACGTACGTACTAATAAATACTATGAGTAACGGGATTTCTTACAATAGATACGATCGATATGCACGCCACTTATTCGCTGGTACAACTTATTAAAGTCGATAATTTAGGAAATACAGTTTTTTCTAACGTGTTGAAAAGTTATCAGCAAACAGTTTGAATAAATAATAAAAAAAAGGCACTACTCACAGAAATCCAAAATTACTCTAACTTCAAAAAAAAAAAAAATTACTCTAACTTGTAAAGACTAATAGCAGTAGGGAGATTAAAAACGTAAAATTTTAAGAGCTTTATTACAGTATTACCAATTTAGTTGGATCGACGATCTGCATAATTGTTTTTTTAGCCCGTGAATTCTTTAAAGAAAACAGCTATATAAACAATACATTGTTTAATAAACTTCGTTGAATTATAAAATTTTAATACCTAATCTTTAAATTCTTTTATCCCACTGTTGAAACCAGAAAGCTCACACTACAAATTTAACTAAAACTTGAACACAAAAGATAAAAAAAATTAGGCATTAATTTTATATTAAATTTAAAAAAAGTTTATCCTACTCTTAACGCAATTCATGGATTTACCAACTGCTTGGAATCTCGATGATAAATCTACTTTTTTGAGTGTAGATTCGAGCGGACTTAGAGTGAATTATGAAGGTGGGTCTTAGCGATAGGCAAATTGATTTTTTCCATGCGCATGAATTGTTTATCTGCATCATGTTAATGCAGGCTGGCTTGCTCAAATTCTCAATAAATTTTCGCATAACATGTGCATTTGCTCGTCGTTAGTGAGACTATTTATTAGCTTAGCATGGCAAATGATTTAACATTTCTGAATTAATACAATTTAACATAGGTTTGGGTGAAGATGATAATGAAGATGTTGGTGCAGTACGGGCAAATCATCCAATTCCATCGCAATGCAAGTTATTTTATTTTGAAGTTGATATATTGGATGAAGGAAAAAACAAGTATGTTTAATATATTTATTATAAATTAAAATAATTCTTTATATTCTATTCAAAAGAGAAATTGCAATTGGATTTTGCGAAAAGACGGTCAATTTAAATAGATTGCCTGGTGATTAAAACTTTAATTTTTTTTTTTTGCATATAGAATATTTTCATTCATAATATTTTTTTCATAGGGTGGGATTATAATTCCTGGGGTTATCATGGAGATGATGGATTCTTTGGCAGCTCGGGAAGAGGCAATCCTTATGGACCGTTATTTTCTACCGGCGATACCATTGGATGTTGTTTAAATTTTATAAATAACACCGTATTTTATACTAAAAATGGTATAAACTTAGGTAGTTATTACAAAAACTTTATAGTTTGTTGAATTAAATCATACATATAAAGTAGGTTAATATTTTTATCATAAATTTTAAGGTATTGCATTACGAAATTTAAAAGGCGCCTTGTATCCTTGTGTTGGATTTAAGTCGCAAGGTGGATCCATAGAAGTAAATTTCGGTGGTAAAAAATTTAAATATGCAGGTAAATGCTGAATAATGATAAGTGTATGTTTTCTTTGATTTGTAATTTAATAATTAATCATTTGTAAATAGAGACGACAAGTGACGATATAGATGATGAATTATTGAAAACAAAATGGATTGGATTATTTAATATTTACATTAATACAACGAATATATGTACAATTAAAGATTTAGAAAACTCGCTGAAAGTCAAACATGATATTGCTCTTAAATTTAGAGGAAAATTTAATTTTATCATGAGGATGCAATTATTGATCTAACAAAATTGCTTGATATTGAACAAAGCAGCAAATTTGCACTAAGATATCGAGGAGAAGCTTATTATCTGATGGGAAAATATAAAGAATCATTCGAAGATGTGAATAAATTACTGAAAATTGAGGCAAATAATGGATGGGCATTAAAAATTATTCCAAAAATTTATGAAAGGTAAATATAAAGTTATTCTTCTTTCAAGAGTATCATATTCTCCAATCAATATTCATTCATATTCTCTA